TGTAGTATTGACTATGTGTAACTAAGGACCACAGAATGTGGGGCTTTGGATGACACCTCTTGACCATTTTTGAAACTTAGAAAGGTCAATTCAGAAGCCACAATTCCCCATAGATGCTCACTTTGTTCTTTGCACTAGAGTCCCATACCTCCAAAGGGCAGAGCAGAAATACAATCCAGGGTTGGCTCCATTCTGTTTCCTGGTCTCCTGGCTGAGGTTAGGGTCAGGAGTTAACTTGATCTGAGGGGGCTCCCAATTACCCTGCCCTTTTGAGACAGGGTATCAGACCAAGCCCATGACACAGGGAGATGGGAAGGAAAGGTGAGTAGAGCAGCTCCAGATGCCTGGCACCCCTCCTACCCCCCAGCTTGCTCCTCACTGTGGCCTCCTGTATATGGGGGTGAGTGTGTATGTGTCTGAATGGGACAGTCCTTTACCACTGTGCCTAAGACCCTAATGTAGGTCTCCATCCATGTTCCATCCATCCTGCCCATCCCCATCCTTTATCCATGCTTTAAAGTCCTCAAGACGTAGCAGAGGCCACCATCAATCACCACAAGGGCGTACACTGGGCAGAACAAGGTACCTTGGAACAGAAAGGCCTGGATGACAAGGGAGCAGCCTGTGGAGACTTGGGGTCTCTGTCACAGCCAGGGCAGGGGAAGCCTTGGAAAGGTGCTGTATTTTGCTCCTGCAGAAAGCCCCTGGGAGGTATGTCCACATGCAGTGCCTTCACTCTTATCTGTCAAGTGTAGATAAGAGCTCAGCTGGGAGCAAGATAATACCACGGCCAATTTAGATAAAGCTTGAGTGATGATCTCTTGGTGGAGGGAGTGACTGTCAATGCCATTAATTCCATAGGGCCAATGTCCCCAGTCTTCCTGGACTCCCTGGCCAGGCCCTGCCTCATCTCTTCATCTAGCAGACTTTCTGGAGCCTGTCTTCAGCATGTCCAGCCATGGAACCACCTTGTACTGCCAGCCCTTTACACGCTTCGTTCCCTTTATGGACTTCTTTCTGTGCCTTGGGTTCAGTTCAGTGCCTTCTGGCTGAGAAAACTTCCTGTGCCCAGGCTGAGTTAGGGCCTCTTCAGTCCTGATGATTTTACCAGTCACAGCCCTGTTAACTGTGGCTCTGCCTGCTCGAGAGCCTTCAGAAGAAGACTGAGCTCCTGGAGGACAAAGTTCCAGTCTGGGACCTCTGTTCCCAGAGCCCAGACTGAGCATCAACTAAGAGAGAGTGTGGTGGGAAGGACGGCAAGAAAACATTGGTCCAGGGCTATCTGTAGCAGAATCAAGTGCGTGCGTGCGTATATGTGTGTGTGTGAGAGTCTGCTGTAGACCCACCTCACTTTAATTAAGCCAAAGAGGTGCTGAAGTCCCAGGGAAACAATCAGGCTGTGGGTCTTTCTCACTTCTCCTTGGGATGGGGTGAGGGATAGGGTATCGGCAAGAACCAGAGGCAGGCTTTTCCTCTGCCCTTAATGGATATGAGCTACCTGATCCCTTGAGGTTAAGCAATGGATACCAACTTAGGCAGAAACCCAGATCAGAGCCCAACCCTTGGCTCTGTGATCTTGGTCGAGTCACTTCACCTCTGTGTTTCCATTACCTCATTTGCATTGTGTCTAACCCCATGTCATAGACCACTTTGAGGGTACACATTAGGAATGTCATTGAGTACTCGTGGCACTATGCTTGCAGAGATGAAAGGATTGGACGCTGGTTGCTAGGCTGTGCCCTGAACACAAAGGAAGACAGACATGCCAAGCTTCAGGAGAAGAGGCCCAGCCCACTTTGGGTGGGGCCATTTATGACCATGGAAAGGAAGTCGGTCTCTGCTCTTGGAGACATGAGAAACCATGATGAATTTGAAGTTACATGGCCAGATCTGTGTTCTCAAAAGGATTCTGTGGCAATTAAGACAGGGCTGGGTTAGAGGTGCTAGTGTTTCCAACAGTCTGCCTTCAGAACAATTACCTAGGCCTGGGTGGGTTATACCAGGCACCGTCTAACATGCCCTCCTGAGCAGCTGGAGGTCCTCTCCAGTGGTGGGAGCCAGAGTGTGACTGGAAACAAGCAGCAGCCATTGCAGTTTAGGACTTTTCAGACTCAGAAACCCCAGTCACTCAAGGCAGGGGAGGTGAGGATTTGGGCTTGCACTGTGTGAAGGCTCAAAACCCAGCCTCCTTCCTCTGCACTTTAGAAGCCCCTGGGGTTCCAGCCTCAGTGAATAGGAGAGGTCCTGACTGCAAAGAATCTGCCAGTGGAGAAAGCAGTTCCCTAAAAGTGGCCAACGTTGATTGATTTTCCTGAAAGAGTTTGTTTTTTAAATTCACATTTCCTTTGAGGACCTAGAATTCATAAAGTAGAATAGTGATTTATTTTACAGCCTCAGGGTGGCAGCACCTAGGGAACCTGGCCAAAATCAACAGAGTCCTTTCTGAAGGCATGGGTCCTCATCCCAAAAGTTCCCTTTGGGATTACTCAAATGTGAGTTACAGATAAAAGTACAAAACACACAAGGAAACAAGCCACTATGAGTGACAGGGCCAGAAACAACCAATAGCAGAATTATTCTCTCTGAGGATCTAAAATGATAAAATAATACAAAATTAGTTGTGTCTAAAATGTTTGAAGAAATTGAAGCCTAATCTGAAACAATAAGCTGGGAACCAATGGCTGTCTAAAATAACCAATCAGATTTGAAAAAAGAATCTAGCGGAATCTGTGGAATCGCTGGAATTGAAAACCACAGTCAACTTGAAAAACCCAGCAAGCAACTAGTAAATTCCACACGTGAAGAGGAACTAGTGTAAGCAAAGCCCTGAAAAGGGAGCAGCTGTGTGTTAGGGGGTTCCCTAAGGAAGTTCTCAGCCTGTTACCCCAGTACTTGGGAGGCTGGGGCAGGAGGACTGAACCAGTGTTTGAGGCCAGCTTGGATTGCTATCTTAGTCTCTGTCTTCTTCTCAGTTTATTTTATCTACATGGATGCCTTGCCAACATGTATGTGTGTGCCCCACATGTGTGCCTAGTGCCTGCAGAAGTCAGACAGGGGTGTCTTATCCCTAGAAGTGGAGTTATGGATGATTGTGAGCCGTCATGCAGGTGCTGGGAATTGGGCTGTGGTCCCCTGCAAGAGCAGCAAGTGCTCTAAACTGCTGAGCTACCTCTCCAGGCCCTATCTTCGTTTCTTTCCCTGTGACTGTGATAAAAATAACTCTGATGAAAGCAATATAAGAAAGAAAGGGATTATTCTGGGCTTACAGTTCCTGGGGAATGCTATCCGTCATGCTGGGGAAAGTGTGATAGCAGGAGCAGGAGGCTGGCTGCTCACATTGCAACTGTGCTTAGGGAGCAGAGCTGGACTATAAAGCCTGAAGGCACACCCCTAGTGACCCCTTCCCCACCCCAATCAGCACCGCTACCTGGGGACTGAGTGTTCAAACAAGAGCCCATGGGTGACGTTTCACATTCAAACCACAATAGCTTCATTGTAAGACCCTGTCTTAAAAGACCAATGAGGGCAGGCAAGATGGCTCAGGAGGCTAAGACGATTGCTGCCCAGCCTGACAGTCTGAGTTCAATTCCTGTGACACACAAGTTGTCAGCTGATCTTCACAAATGGTGTGTGTCTCTCTATCACCTTGGAAAGGGTCTTTATTTAAAACCCAAGTACAAAAAACCACTGCCAATAACCAAATGCAGAACCCAAGAGAGAAGGGAGAAGGGCGTCTTGTGGGACATGAAATTCAGTATTAAAGGGGCTAAGAGACTAGGTAGGAGGTCATAGAGGAGATGGAGCCCAGTGAGAGGGGTGGGTCAAAGATGGCTATCAGACTTGTGGCTTCAGAAACTGGGTGGAGATGTGTTGCTCATTAAAAAGTGGCAAGGCTGAGGGAACAGGCTGGGGAGAAGGTGCAAGAGGCAAGCTTTGAATGCTTAGTTGGCCTGGGAAGACCTGCTGGTAGGCCTCAGGGTACGTGTGGGATGGGCCTAAGTGGAAAACTTTTTCTCTTCACTGGGGTTTGAAGATCAGGATTTTCTTCAGCAGTATGGCAAACTTCTATAGGAACCTTCTTTCAAGTGCATACTTTTAATCCCAGCACCCAGGCAGGTAGATCTCTGTGGGTTACAGGCCATTCTGATCTATATAAAGGGTTCCAGGTAGCCAGGGCTAATAGCCCTGTCTCAAAACAAACAAACAAACAAACAAAAAAACCTATCCTTTCATTCAAATCAGGTTCTTGGAGAAGAGGCATTTTCATTTTCCAGAAGGGAAAGTTGAGACCCAGGAAAGCTCAAACCTTGGACTTCATTTGTTCATTCATTCATTCATTCATTCATTCATTCATTCACTCATGGATTTGTTAGGAGCCTGCTTTGTGCCAGACCCTAGGGCTGGGGATACAGAGGGATAGAAGCTTGTATCTTAGTGAAGGGAGACAGACAATAATTTAAATATATAGGACGGATGCTAAGAACTGTAGGGGAACTTGAGGGCCAGGTATGTAGGAGATGTCATTGGGAAGGTGACTTGAATATGGAAGGCTTTGGAATGCTCATACAGAACCATTGCCCACCATGGCCCATTGTGACAGTGTCAGTTCTAGAGTATAGGCCTGAGGTCAGAAAGAACCTGGAGAAGAAATACCCAGAGAGGGACCAGTGTTGGGTGGTGCCCCTCAGGGGCCAGCAAAGCCCAATGGGTCAGAAAGGCCACAAGGATTCCCTTTACACTTGTGAAGGGTAAGAAACATTCATTCTCATGGCTTCCTTACTCCCCATCCTCAGCCCGTCCCTACCCTGCCATTGAGTTTCAGATGACACCCTCCCTTCTTCCATCACTGGGGACACTGAGAGGTGGGTGTAAACTGTCCCTGTGTCTCAGCATGGGCAGCCCAGAGGACGCCTAGTCGTCAGGTCAACCAGCCAGTGAGGCTCTGTCCTGGCAGGAGAGGCCAAGACTCAAGTTAGTTGTGTGTCTGCTTCTTTGCTCAGGTCTCCTGTGAGCAGCCTCCATGAGGCCCTGGACCAGTGCATGACAGCCCTAGACCTCTTCCTCACCAACCAGTTCTCAGAAGCACTCAGCTACCTCAAACCCAGGTGAGCCTTAGAGGTGTGTATGCACACATGTAAGTGCACATGTGGGGATGGACATGGATTAGAAGAGCCCGTGAGTACATTACACTTTTGGGTCACCAGGACCCCTGAAAAGTCTCATCCAAATGGCTGTCACCCCTTCCACAGCCTGCGAAGAGCCAGATGGTTTCCACAGAGACTGGGAGCTGGTGATATTCTATTCCTATTCCAGTCCACTGTGGGGAGCAGGGAGGGGTCTTCCAATCCACTCTAAACTGCTCCTTCCCTCTTTAGGACCATTCACTGGGCCTTCGGGTAGTGATGAGGGCTGCACTTTAAGGCATTTGTCCAGTGTTTGCTGTTGGGTTGCTTGTTTGGTTTTGAGACAGGGTCTCAAAGCCAACCTCTGAGTTAAGATCCTCCTACCTCCACCTTCCAAATGCTAGAATTCCCAGCATGCACCACCAGGCCCAGCATACTATGTCTGAATAAGACGCACATGCAGTGTTTTCTTTCCTAACCTCCACTTCTTTTCAGTTTTTAAAACTGAGGTATACTACAGATACCATAAATTCACTTTTAATAAAAAAAAAAGGTGTGTGTGTGTGTGTGTGTGTGTGTGTGTGTGTGTGTGTGTGTGTGTATAGGTTAGAGAATAACTCTAGGGGTCAGGTCTCTTGCTTCACCTTGTGGGACCCTAGGGTCAAAGTTGGGCTCTCAGGACATGTACTGCTGAGCCATCTTGCTAGCCCCAAATCCAATATTTTGTTACTTTAAAATCCTCATCTCTTAGTAGATAAGAATGTAGTTTTCACTGGGTATGGTGGTGCACACTTATAATCCCATACTTGGGAGGTAGAGGCAGGTGGACCTCCGTGAGTCCGAAGCCAGCTTGGTCTATATAGTGAGTTCCAGGACAGCCAGGGTAACACAGAAAGATCCTTTCTAATAACAAGAGAATTTAGCTTTCTTACGTACATATGGTGGTGTGCACCCTTCACCTCAGTACTTGGGAGGTAAAGATAGAATGTTCAGGAGTTCAGAGTCATCCACTGTTAACAGAACAAGTTCAAGGCCAGCCTGGGCTGCATGAGATCTTTATCTTGAAAACCAAAACCAAAACCAAAAGAATTTAGCTTTCTTACCCATGTGCCACACATTGCTTCCCTCATCCCACCTTACCGTATTACAATGTTTAACCAAATTGCCAATTGATATTATTATATCCTCACAATTAGTGCATCTCTTATACCTTTGCCAACACACACAAAGCCACAGCTCTCAGCGTTTATTTTGGAGCCATTTGAGTGACCATGTCTTGGGAGCACAGATTTAGGTTACCCCAAATTCCATGTTCCAGTATGAAAGCAGTCTCATGAAGTTTTTATAGTTTTACAGAGCAGAGAAAGCCACAAATCAAGGCAAGTGTAGAATACATTGGTGGGTGCATCAGAGAGGCAGGTAGAACAAGATGAGTCTTTACTACAGTCTCAGGATGCTCTTGGCCTTCTTAGCTTCTGGATTGGTGGGAGCTAGTAATATGCTAAAGTCATAGATTCCAAAAGGTTTTTATCTACAGGTCACAAGAGGTTAGTTCCGACGAAGAGGTGGGCAAGGAATGGCTGTAGCCCTCGATAAGGTGACTAGCACTGGAATTCTATAAGGTGACTAGCACGGGAATTCTAATCAGCCGCAGGCGCAGCTTCCTTTCAGAGGTTTTCCTTCATAATTACTTCTTATCAGGATGAGCTGTGTATGATGAGCTGGATAGATAGCATTTTCTTGCTGGAGCTGTAAGTGGTCTTGGTCCCTCGTTTCCTAGTTTGCTGTCCTTTACACTTAGCTTGGTAAACACATACTTGGTATGTTTGAGCATCTGGGGGAGAACCCTCCACGGGGTGACCCCATCCCAAGTTCTCCCCAAGGAAGCGTGAGCTCCCTTTCCCCAGAACCTTTTGAGGGAGACAAGTGCCTCCTGGCCTTGTCCAGCTGTCCCCTCCAGCCCCAGCCTTCTGCCTCACATGATTTCTAGCAAAGAGTTGCATGGAGATTTTTTTCCTGTCAGAAGTGTGAAGGCATCAATCACCTACTTAGCTGCTGTGCTAGCCAGTTTTGTCAGCTTGACACAAGCTAGGGAGGGAGCCTCAACTGGGAAAAAAAAAAACGCCTCCATAATATCAGGCTTCAGGGAAGCCTGCAGGGCTTTTTATTAATTAGATTGATGTGGGAGAGCCTAGTCCATTGTGGGCCGGTGGTCCTGGGTTCTAGAAGAAAGCAGACTGAGCAAGCCACGAGGAGCAAGCCAGTAAGCGGCGTCCTCCATGGCCTCCGCATCAGCTCCTGCCTCCAGGTTCCTGCCCTGTTTGAGTTCCTGTCCTGACTTCCTTCAGTGATGAACAGTGCTGTGGCAGTGTAAATTGAATAAACCCTTTCCTCCTTGAGCTGCTTTTGGTCGTGGAGTTTCACCACAGCAATAGCGACTACAACTAAGACATCTGAGTCCTAGTTCTTACTCCATGTGTGATCTTTTCTGTCTCCTTCTCAGAAATGTTCCAGGTCTCCTATTACTCCTGTCTGTCCAGGTTTCAGAGCAGTGGGCTGGGACAAAGGTCTCTTTCATTCTATAGTTTTGTAATAAAGTCTTTCTGTTCTAGGAAGTTCCCTTTTCTGTTTGTTCCCTTTGCTTCAGCCAGGTGTAGGCTTCCCAGGTGAGCGGTCTCTAAGCTTTGCGCTCCTCTCCCTTCTCCTTTATGGTTCTTTTAAAAGGAATGTGTGTGTGTGTGTGTGTGTGTGTGTGTGTGTGTGTGTGCGCGCGCGCGTGCGCGCGCGCGTGTATGTGGCCACTGCACACAGGTTGAGGTCAGAGGACAACTTTCAGGAGTCAGTCCTCTCCCTCCACAGTGTGGATTCGGGAATTGAACTCAGGTCTTCGGGTTTGGCAGCAAGCGCCCTTACCCTCACTGAGCCATCTTGCTGAGATTTCACTTGCATTTTCCTCCATGTCCCTAAGTCCGACTTCTAGTTACTTCCGTGATCACATGACTAATTTCCTAATACTTACTGTTTCTCTGCATATTCTTTTTTGTCTGTAACATCTTCTTTCTTTCTTTTTTTTTTTTTTCACTTTCATGTTTGTGTACCTGTGTGTGATGTGCATGTGTCAGGGTGTGTGTGACTGTGTGTTCGCATGCATGTGGGGACCCAAGGTTGATGTTGAATCATCCTTGATTACTCTTCCACCTCATGATTGAGGCAGGGTCTTGGAATCAAACACACAGCCTGCTGACGTGGCTAGTCTTTCTACCCGGCTTGTGCTGGGGGTCCCCTGTCTCCACATTCTTGGGGTAGAATTACAGGTGAGTCACCACACCCACCCAGCATTATTGTGAGTTTCTGGGAATCCTCCAATCCCCATACTCAGACTGCAACTGCTTTAGCTGCTGAGCTGCCTCTCCAGCCGCCCTCTTCATATTCTTACTTGTATTTTATGTATATTGGTATTTGCCTGTATGTATGTCTATGTATCATGTGTGTACCTGGTACCCAGCCACAGAACCAGAAGAAAGATTCAGATCCCCTGGAAGTTAAAAAAAAAAAAAAAGTTAAAAAAAAAATCGTGACCCATCATGTGGAATTGAACTTGGGTCCTTAGCGAGAATAAATACTCTTAACTGTTGAGCCATATATCCAGCCATTATCCCCTTTCATTTGAGACAAGAATCTTACTATTTAGTCCAGGATGACCTCAAACTTCAGATCCTCCTGCCTCGGGTTGCCCATTTCTGGGATTGTAGGTGTGTACAACCACACTGGGAACCCAGGATGCCCACCCCGCTTTAGGACACACTGTTTCCCTGTGCCAGTCTGGAAGGTCAGTGTCAAGTTCCCTGCATCTCACCTCAGGGCAACCAAAATGATGAGATGTCCTAGGGAAGTAAAATTGCACTCCACCCATATCAACCAAAGACTTTGCAGAAATTGTCAGATTTCCTTCTATGAGTGGAGCGAAAGTACCTCATCACCTTCACTGAGAACCAGAGTGGTGGTCAATAGCAACACAGCCCCCCCAACACCATTTACTCCCATTGAAACTTCAGAGAAGGTAGGGTCCACAGTCATCCATGACTCTGTATTGTACACAGGTCTGCTTGGCTGTCCTGACCCTATCGAAGGGAGGAGCATCCCTTCTGTTCTCCCTATCAAGGGGAGGAGCACCCCTTCTGGGCTCCTTGGGCTTAACAGGGTTTATCACGGTCCCCTTCCTGTCTCTGCATCTGCTGTCTGGATGCTGCATCTCTGAATAAGACTGTCTGCATTGCTTGCTGGCATGTGAGTCTCAGCACTGTCTCCAGGCACTGACTAGAACACAGAGGCAACTCCAATAACTTTTCCTGTTGAATAAATGACCATGGCTTGTCAGTGGAAGAGCTTGGATTCAAGTCCAGTCCCATCCTGTGCTGCAGGCTGCATTCCGGAGTGCTGGGCTATGCCAGGTCTCATGCAGGGTGGTGTGGTCACCTTGCTTGGAAGGGCCTCATGCGGCTTCCTCCCAAAGAGGAGGGAGGGGGTAGAAAAGGGCATGTACAGAGATAAGTGTGTTCCTGGTGTAGAAAGTTCAGGGTATGCCTATGGGTGTCCTGGAGCTTCCCTGAAGAAGAGGCAAGGCCACCTGCTAAGCATGAGGGGCCAGGCTGTACTGAGGGGATGACAAGGAGAGGAAATTTGTCCCTAAGCAGGATGAGGTTTTAGCTGAAGCCAACTCCAGCTCAAGAGTCACCTTCTGCAGGGCAGTTCCTTGCAACCTTGCTCAGTGGCAGCTTGGGGGAATGGGCAGTTGTGTAGCCCTGGTCTGGGGTTCCTATCTGGGTACAACAGAAGGTCTGAGGGCGAGGAGGCCAGATGTTGAGGCTGAGGCAGGGAAGGAAGGCTGCCAAGGATCTAGCAAGGCCTCTCAGCCTTGACTGCTAGTGGAGGAAGGGGCTTGAGAAGCCTCCAGGCCCACCATCTGCACTGTCCCCCATCGTGACAGCTGGCCTGGGCCCTAGGAGGTGGGACTCCAGGAAGCATCCTTTCACAGAGCTGGGTTCAGCTCAGGGGACCAGGTGCCACATATGCAAAGGAGAACTTGTGAGGCTCATATAACACTGCGAGTTTGAATTTGGAGTCACCGTACTCCTGAATCCCCTTCCAGGCCACTCCAGGCTGGAGTATTCAGTTGGTGAGCTGGTGAGGGCCAGAATTCTTACCCACAGGTACATGGTAGGGCCTTGGGTCTCAGACTAGAAATTCCACTTTGTCTGCCAGCGGCCTGGGCAGGGCTCCTTCCTTCCAGGCCCAGCAGGTGTGACTGGGTGGGTAGGGCTGAGTCCTGGGGCTCAGGGCCCAAAGGGAGAGGGAAGACAGGGTGGAGAGACTCTGGGGAAGAGTCCAGGAAGCCCGAAATGTTCTCAGATATGCTGTTGGTCCTGTTAGGGAAGACCCTCAAGGAAGTGACTCTGGACACTGGTGGGACAGAGGGACTCATGTTTACTGAGCGGGGTGATGTGGCCTGAAATCTGAAAGAACAATTTCAGTCATTGTAGAAACCCCAGGACAGAAAGATTATTATATCCAATTCATTTTCCCTCCCTCCCTCCGTCCCTCCCTCCCTTTCTCCCACTCTCCTTCCCTACTTCCTCCCTACTGTTCCTACTCAGAGTAGTCTTAGCACAGGTTGGAAGGCATCTGAGAACTGGCAGGGCAGGGAGCAATCCACCAGCCTTTTGTTCATTCTGGCCTCAAGAATCTTGACCCATAGCAGGCATATAGTGGTGCACGAGGGAGGTCTGTTTAATGAAGTCTAGGACCCTGCCTCAAAACAAAACCAAAAAACCTAACCTCTGAGGGTCACCCAGTAGGAAAAGAGTAACCCATCCACGGGCCTTGCTCTAACTAGAAAGGAAGATGGCCGAAGTCACGTGGTCTCTGACATCCTCAGCATTGGCCTGGTACTGAGGAGTTTTGTGAATAATTGACAAAGGCCCTTGAGGAAGGGAACCAAACTGCAGGCTTCTGCCATGGCAGGCAGCTGTTATCCTGCCAGGCTCAGTGGCCCCAGCCATCCAGCACCATCACCCCCTGTTGCTGGGTAACAGCCAAGTTCCAGGCTGCTAAGGGGTTCCTCCAAGTGTAACAAGGAGCTGGCATTTTTCCAGCTCACTTTTTTTTTTTTTTGGTTTTTGGAGATAGGGTTTCTCTGTGGCTTTGGAGGCTGTCCTGGAACTTGCTCTTGTAGACCAGGCTGGTCTCAAACTCACAGAGATCCACCTGCTTCTGCCTCCAAGTGCTGGGATTAAAGGCGTGCGCCACCAACACCCAGCCCAGCTCACTTTTTGCCCACTGCCCTCTCCATATGGGGCTAAGTGCAATCCTCATACCCTGGGATACTCTTTTGTCTAGAGCTTGGGTCTGTTGAGTACAGGGAGGCAGGAGGTAAAGGCTTTCTGAGGCCACTCTGGCTCAGCCCCGTCACTTCAGGTCACAGAGATGAGTCACAACAAGCTCTGCCCCACGGCACCCACAGTCTGCCAAGGGAGGGTAAAGCTTGTGGTTGACTCAGGCTGAGTGTGGTCTGTGCAGGTCCCAAGGAGGAACCTGAATTCCCAGGGGTCTTAAAGGCTGAGGCCTGTGGTGACTGAGTCAGATGATGTGGGTCAGGACAAAGATATCTCAGTCTTGGGGAGCAGCCTGGGAAGGGCCTGGAAGAGGAAAGTGGGGGGGGGGTTCGGGTTGTTAGGCTTGATGGCAAGCACCTTTTACTGCTGAGCCATCTTGCAGGCCCAGTGTTATAGTCTTGAGTGCTGGGAGATTCAGCCCAATGCTGTAGGTCAGATGAAATGGGGAAGCAGTAATAATGGGTCTAGATGGTTCTGGGAACGGGCAGGATGGGAGGTGTGTGTGTGTGGGGGGGAGAGGCAGAAGGCAAGAGGCAGGTACTGCATGGGTAAGAACAGCCTCAGGCCAGCACCTGTGTCCCCTCCCTGGGAAGGTCACTTGAGGTCACCCATCAGGAAGAAAAGAAGCTGGGAACTGGACCAAGATCTTTTTTTTTTAAAATACTTTATTTAACTTTATTTTATGTGCATTGGTGTAAGGATACCAGATCCTCTGGAACTGGAGTTATAGACAGGTGTGAGCTGCCATGTGGGTGCTGGGAATAGAACTCGGGTCCTCTGGAAGAGCAGCCACTGCTCTTAACCACTGAGCCATCTCTCGAGCCCTGGACCAAGATCTTTTGTTTTTAAATTCGTTTTTAAACTCTTGGCAGTTTCTTGTCTGCAATGCATTGTTACCTCTTTGATCCCCCCTTTACTTTCTGTATCTCACTCCCACCCCTTCTCTCCCCTTTCCTCCTTGGATAGAGGTCATTTGAGATGCCATGAAAGGGTCAGATTTGGAAACATGTCCCCTGCAGCCAGCCAGCCATCTCTGGTGCTCTCAATATCCACTTTGTCCCACAGAACCAAGGAGAGCATGTACCACTCACTGACATATGCCACCATCCTGGAGATGCAGGCCATGATGACCTTCGACCCCCAGGACATCCTGCTTGCTGGCAACATGATGAAGGAAGCACAGTCGCTATGTCAGAGGTCAGAGCCATGGGGACCGGGATAGGGTAATGAGGCCACCCTTCTGTCTGTCTCCTTCCTAACCAAGAGCCTGGTGTATCCCTTAAGTACTACTACTTCTGACTAAGAGGCCTTGTGTCCTCCCTCCAGTGCTGAGAGCTGTCCCTGTTGACATGGCTGTAGAGCCTTGTCTGAGACAATGGATTCTGTCTCTGCCACTTTTATTTGGTCTTAACTAGGTCTTTCATGGGACTCAATTTCCTTCATTTATAAAAGAGGTATGATGACTTATGAGTCACAGGGTTGCCCTGAGGACCCAGTGGCAGGGCCTGGGTGTACTTGAGTGAGTTTAGTCCACAGTCTACGAATGAACTAACTGTCCCTGAGTGTTTGTGTACTGGTGGCATCATTTACCACTGAGCATACACTCACATCTACTCTGACCCAGGCCCTGGTGACCTAGAGAATCATTAGGCCCAGGAAATTCTGCTGTTTACACTACCTAACGGGGACACAGACCCCCACTCCCTGACATCTAATATGAGTCAGGCAAGCTGGAGGCACTATAGGCTTTGTTCCATAGTGCAGATGGCTCTTGGGGAAGCAATACCTGAGCATGGTCCCGGAGGGTCCCAGAGACAGTGAGCAACAGGCCAAAAGATTAGAAAGTCCATACTAGGGATTGTGGCTCAGTTGGCAGAGCACTTGCCCAGCATATGGGTTGCTCTGAGTTTGAATTCCAGCACAGTGAAGAAGGAAGGAATGAAGGAAGGACTCCAGTAAGCCAGCCCTGGACTGGGACAGCTGTGGGCTGTCTTGAGAATCCTGTAGGAGACGCCTACAAACCTTCAAACATTTGAAAGTATAGCAAAGGGTGTGTGTGTACAAAGACAAGTATGATGTAGGCTGGTCCCTCTTTCAACCTCATGGAATCACTAGAGGCCTTTTTCCTCCTCCAGGCATCGGAGGAAGTCTTCTGTGTCGGACTCTTTTAGCAACCTAGTCCACCGTCCCACCATGGACCAGTTCACAGAAGGTGTGGTGTCCAAGATGTCTTTTCAAGCATGGGCTCTGCTGGTCCAGAGAGGGGAAGGGGAATGTGGAGGGGGAAAGAGAAAAGTTAACCATTCTATTGTCTCCAAGGGGGGCTGTGCTATGGCCTAATGCTGGGACACAGGTGGCTCTGGCCTGGGGCCTTTGGAAAGAGTTAGAACAGGAGAAGCCCAACCACCAGACAGCATTATCAGCTAAGCACCTGGAAGCCTGGAAAATGTGGCCTTGCTCCTAGGGCCCAGGGCTGTTAGAAAGCGCCTTTGTGACTTTATATGGCCCATTGGGAATGTGCCTTTACTTGAGCCTCCTGCCTAGAACCCCAGGCTTTGTTTTGTTTTGTTTTTCCTGCAGAGGAAATCCATGCCGAGGTCTGTTATGCAGAGTGCCTGCTGCAGAGAGCAGCCCTGACCTTCCTGCAGGTAAGGAAGCTTCCCTCACCCCAGCCCACCCCACACATCTGCAAAGAGCCTAAGAATTCTGGGACAGTCACCACATCCAAGCACGACTTGCCCTGAGAAGTGGCAAAGCCTGAGGCTCACAGGCCCAACCCTGGCCAAGCTAGATGAGGAATTCTCAATCCTTCGGGTCACTGCTGCTGCTATTGTCAAGAGTCACATGGACATAGGCATTGTCACAGGTCTGCTTTGCTTGCTTTATGTAGCAAACACTTGTAGCAAATAATATAGCAGGCTTTTGCAGGTCTATAGATGTGTAATTTTACATGTGTGTGTGGTGTGTGCATGTGTGTGTGTGGTGTGTGCATGTGTGTGGTGTGCACATGTGTGCATGGAGAATGGAGGTTGATATCAGGTGTCTTCCTCTTACTCTCCATCTTTTAACATATTTGTTTAGTGCATACCTGTGATGGGAAGGGGAAGGCATGCCATAGATGTGTTGGAGGTCAGTGAACTTTTTGGGAATTGGTTCTCCTACTTTGTTTTTGAGGCAGAGGCTCTCTCGTTATTTCTGCTACTGAGCTGTGTACTCCAGGCTAGCTGGCCTGAGAGCCTGATTCTCCTGTCTCTGCCTCCATTCTCTGGGAGGGATTTCAGATGCAATCCACTGCATCTGGCCTCGTAAATGGGTTCCATGGATCAAATTCTGTCCTTTGGCTTGTGTGGCAAGCACTTTGCTATGGGAGCTGTCTCCCTAGTCCCTGGATATGTTAGTGTTCGCATAACTCCCACACATGAAGTCCTTTCTGATGTGTTTACACTTGTTACTTAACCCCTCACAGGACAACAAAGCACAGTTTTAGGGGGGAGGACTCCTCTCCCTAAGGTCACAGGATTAGCAAATAGTGAACTGGGATTTAAGTTTGGGTCTGGCCAAGTCAGAGATGGGGGTCTCCCTACCACAGTGGGAATTATGCACACCGTCACTACCAAGTTTTACTAGAACTCCTTGGTTAGCATATGACAGCTATCATCACCGATGTGCATGTATGTATGTGTGTTGGTGGAAAGTAGATACATTTTAGTTTGGGCACTATTTATTTTCTTTTTCTTTTAAAATTTTTTTTCAAGATAGGGTTTCTCTGCATAGCCCTGGCTGTCTTGGAACTCACTCTATAGACCTGGCTGGCCTTGAATTTGCAGAGATCTACCTGCCTTTGCCTCCCATGTGCTGGAATTAAAGGTGTGCACTATCACTGGCTGACTAGCTCTTATTTTCTTTAGCTTGGTTTTTGTTTGTTTTTTTTAACAAATTTTTTAAAGATTTTATTTATTGATTATGTATACAATATTCTGCTTCCATGTATATCTGCACACCAGAAGAGGGCACCAGATCTCATAACAGATGTTTGTGAGCCACCATGTGGTTGCTGGGAATTGAACTCAGGACCTCTGGAAGAGCAGTCGGTACTCTTAACCTCTGAGCCATCTCTCCAGCCCGTTTGTTTTGTTTTTAGACAGGGTCTCATTATGTAACTCTAACTGATCTGGAACTCACTATGTAGACCAAACCGGCCTTGAACTTACAGCAGTCCAATTGCCTCTGCCTCTCATGTGCTGTGATTGAAGGTGTGTCTTACCATACCTGGCCTCCTTAGCTCTTTTTAATTAAAAAAATTACTTTATTATTGTATTTTATGTGGGTGGGTGTTATGCCTACATGCATGTCTGTGTACTAATTGCATGCCTCCTGCCCTCAGAGGCCAAAAGAGGACATTGGATTTTTTGGAAGCTAAAGACAGTTGTGAACCACCATGTGGGTCCTGGGAATTGAACCTAGGCCTTCTGGAAGAACAGCCATGAGCCAATATATTAGTCCATATAATACTAATTGTGTGTATGTTTTCTTTTCCTATTTTCAAGATGAGGTTTCTCTGTGTAGCCTTGGCTGTTCTGGAACTTGCTCTGTAGACCAGGATGGCCTCAAACTCAGAAATCTGCCTACCTCTGCCTCTCAAGTACTGAGATTAAAGGTGTGTGCTACCACTGCCTGGCTAGCTCTTTTTTAAAAATTATAATTTAGCTGGAGAGATCGCTCAGCGGTTAAGAGCACTGACTGCTCTTCCAGAGGTCCTGAGTTCAATTCCCAGCACTGAATAAATACAAAGACAGGAACTGAAAAAAATTATAATTTAATTACACATTTTCTCCTTCCCTTTCTTCTAAACCCTCTCAAATACCTCTCTCTTTCAAATTTATGATCTCTTGTTTTCACTAATTGTTATTGCATGTAATATATGTATTACATACAATACATATGTCTATACATATATTCCTAAATATAACTTTAATCTGTATAATGTTACTTGCATCTTTGTTTCCAGGGCTGACAGTTGGCAATGGACAACCAATTGGTGTACTCTTCCCTGGAGAAGACCCTGCCCCATTCCCAGCTTTCCTCAGTTGCCTATAGTTCTTTGTGTAGGCTTGGGGCTTCATGGGCTTTTCTCTGTACATTTTGGCACGTCCATTAGTGTCATTTTTGGTCAGCTCACTGTTGGGTAGTTATGTTGGTGTGGCCTTGTGGGTATGGCTTCAGATATCCTAGGAGACACAATCTCTCAGCAAACTCCCTGATCCTCTGGCTCTCACAATCTTTGCCCCATCTTCTGTAATATTCCCTGAGCCTTGGGTGTGGGAACGTTTTGTAGGTATCCATTGGGACTGGGTACCACAACTGCATTTTATTCTGGCTTAGAAAATTAATGGATATAGATTCTCCTCCAATACTCATGACTTCACTGGCACTAGTAGTTGGCTACATTTCCAATGATAGGCATGGTTTCCCTCTTACTGAGTGGGTCTTAACTCCAATTAGAGAGCTATTGGTTATTGCCAAGGTATGCATGCCACTAGTGTGCCTTTAGGATTGTCATGCCATGCCATGCCATGTCATTGACATGGTTCATGGGTGTCATAGACAGTTATCCTTAGTTTTTAAAATCTTTTTGGCTCTCAGGTGATTGGAGCTGGACTAATCCTAATCCTCAGTTTAGGACTCACTGAAACAAGAATGGCATTTTATTTTATTTGCTTATTATTATTATTATTATTACTATTATTATTATTATTTTGGTTTTTCGAGACAGGGTTTCTCTGTGGCTTTGGAGGCTGTCCTGGCACTTGCTCTGGAGACCAGGCCGGCCTCCAACTCACAGAGATCTGCCTGCTTCTGCCTCCTGAGTGCTGGGATTAAAGGCGTGCACCACCAACGCCCGGCGTGCTTTTTATTATATATTAATATCACACACATACCCTGATGCTACTAGAGGCCAGAGCCTACATAGCAAGACTCATCCCTCTACCCCGACACTGTTCCAGCCTCCTTCCTGGGGGAGCCATTATTTTCCTTATCACCTCTGCCTTAGTGTTTCCCAGTTGTGTCTAGACAGCATATGGCTATGCTTTGGTTTTGTGTCACAAAGGCTTCTAGTAGTGTGGAGCCTGGATTCTCCATTGGTCTTTTTGTGCCTGGATAATATTCACTTATGTAAATGCCTCAGCTTACTTAGCTTCCATGGGTGAGCCTTGATTGCTGTGGCTCTTGGTTTCATGACACTGATGCTGTGGACAGTCCTGATAAATGCTTTTCAGCCCATGATCATTCATTTTCTTTTTTCTTTTTTCTTTTTTCTTTCTTTTTTTTTTTGTTTTTGTTTTTTTGAGACAGGGTTTCTCTGTGGCTTTGGAGGTTGTCCTGGAACTTGCTTTGTAGACCAGGCTGGCCTCGAACTCACAGAGATCTGTCTGCCTCTGTCTCCTGAGTGCTGGGATTAAAGGCGTGTGCCACCAACGCCCGGCTGATCATTCATTTTCTAAGTGGACATCCAGGATTGGGGCACCAGACAGGCTTGGGATTGCTGGGACTTTAAATAATACATTAGAGTAATTATCTTTAATATTCCAAAAATGAGCATGGTCCTTCTACCTAGAGGGGGAAACTCATCACTAATTAGGTCTCAACAGGTGACTTTGTATGTGTGTGTGTGTGTGTGTGTGTGTGTGTGTGTGTGTGTGTGTGTGTGTGTGTGTGTCTGACAAAGAGGGTTGTGACAGCCTGCTTTGGGTGAGCTCTGACCACCCCCATCTCACCTGTCATACTGTCATACCTGGCACAGGGTGGAGGGCTGTCACAGCCCACAGCCTTGTGTGACCCTCCAGCCTGCAGTTACCTGCCTTGGACCCAGTTCTCTCCATCTCTCCCCACCACAGGATGAGAACATGGTGAGCTTCATCAAGGGTGGCATCAAAGTTCGAAACAGCTACCAGACTTACAAGTAAGCGGGGTGGGGGGGGAGTGGGGGGGTCGTGATCAGCCTGTGGAGAGTTGGGAGTCTGGGGCCAAAGAGTCTATTACCTGTCCCCTCAAAACTGCATCGTGGGAGGCCCAAAGTCTAGAAAGCTGTGAGCTTAGATAGATTTCTGCACTCCTAGGACCTCCATTTTCTGGAATAATGTTCTCCTGGTTTTCTGGCTATACTTGTATGTTTGGCTTCTTGAATGCCTTGTCTACTGGGGAAGAAGATGGCCCAGACCGCCTGTCCTGGTGGGCAGGGAGGTGGATGGACAGAGGACTTAAGGAAAGCAGCAGAACTACATATATGTAAAGGCCTAGATGCTACTTTGCCTATAAAGTCTTCCTTGACCATTTTTTTTTGGGGGGGTGGGTTTCTCTGTGTAGCTTTGGAGCCTATCCTGGCACTCGCTCTGGAGAGCAGGCTGGCCTCGAACTCACAGAGATCCACCTGCCTCTGCCTCTGCCTCCCAAGTGCTGGGATTAAAGGCATGTGCCACCAACGCCTGGCCTTCCTTGACCTTTTTAACACACAGGATTACATATATGCACACACGCACACACAGATGCATGCTCCTTGTCTTAGTTAGGGTTTCTGTTGCTGTGAAGAGACACCATGACCATGCAACTCTTGTAAAGGAAAAACATTTAATTGGGGTGGCTTACACTTTCAGAGGTTTACTCCATTATTATCTTGGTGCAATGTGGCAATGCAGGCAGACATGGTGCTGACTACATTTTGACCTGGAGGCAACAGGAAGTGGTCTGAGACATTGGGCATTCTTGAGCATATATGAGAGCTCAAAGCCTACCTCCAGAGTGACACACTTCCTCTAACAAGGCCACACCTTCTCCAACAAAGTCACACCTCCCAATAGTGTGTTCCCTATGAGCTTATAGGGGCCAATTACATTCACACTACCACAGGCACCAAGGGCTAGATCATCCCTACACTATGTCTGGGTCCCTGACAAAAGTCCTCTGGGCCAGGGACAAGCTGTGCTGATGGTTAAAACCCTGAAGACTTAGCCCAGAGCACTTTTACCCAGTTTGGTGCTATAGTCCCTTATCTTCAAGTTTGACGTCAGATACAGCTCTGAAAACCCAGCCCTCCCTCCCCTAAGTTATGCAGTAGAATTTACTTCCTATTATACTTTGAGAAAACATGTTGTCTTTCCCTTCCCCACTAGGGTGACTGTTCCCTGCACAGGACACCTAAAGGCTTGTGCTGGAATTGTCTAGGAACAATTAGACAAGTGCTTTAGTCTCTCCGGTGTCCTTGCTAGCTTCTAGAATGGTGACTGCAGAGCACACACCTGGTCAGGCTACCTCTCCCAATTCCTGAGTCCCTCTTGCTTACACAATGGAGCCCTGGGTCCAATCAGCCCATGAGTGCCTCCTCCCGCGTCTTTTCTGCCCCTCACATCACTCTGCTACAGACCCTTAGGCCTGCCCTCAGCTCTTCAAGTATGCCTCACAGGTTTCTAACATACTGTCTCTGTCAAAATAGTCTACACTGGACTAATTCCAACTCAACTCCCAGGTTCTAGCTCACACATCACCTCTCCACATAAATACCATCTGAGAAACTCTCTTCATCCCCAGACTAAGTCCGGCCTCAGGGTTCTTCTCTCTTTTCAGGTGATACATGGGGAGTAGAGCTGTGGGGACAAGGTGGGCTATTGTGCTCCCTGCTACCCTCTAGTGCCTCACACAGAGAAGTATGAGGGTGGTTGCTGTCTAGAAAGCCTTTGTGCTGGGCTGGGGACTCTGTGCTGTTTGTACGTTTGTATGTAGGAGAAAGAGGGTTTGATTCCAGCCAAGCGAACTCCAAGGAAATGTCCTGGGGGATAGGGTGTTCTCATTGGGGGTGACTGTGCCTCCTGTGAGACACAGGCATCCTGGTTGTCCCACTGATGAGAGGGAGGATGGTAGGGATGTTGTAAACATCTTGCACTGGAAACAGGTTCTTTCCTTCCCCCCCAGCAAAGAATTATCCAGCCTAAGATGGCAGTTGAGGCTGGTGGAGGGTATTGTACCATTAGGGCCAATGTGGTGCCATTTAGGGGTAAGGAACATGCATTTGCTGTGGAAGACAAGATGGAAATTCATTGAGTATCAGCCCTCTGGGTCTGTAGAACTCTAAATCCACCACTGTTGAGTTCTGAGCCCACTCTGTCAGGGAGATGGGGGATGGATCCCAGCCTGGCTCCTGTGTGTGGCTAAGCAGCATCCTCCCCACAGGGAACTGGATAGCCTTGTCCAGTCCTCACAATACTGCAAGGGAGAGAACCATAGGCACTTTGAAGGAGGGGTGAAGCTTGGTGTTGGAGCCTTCAACCTGGTGAGTAGGAGCCCCTCATTTCTTCAGTGTCTGGCCCCCAGTAGAGCTCTCCTGCATGTCCTTGTCCCATACAAGGTAACCCCTATGTGCCATTGTGCCTGGCTGTGTGCTAGGCATGGGACCTAGAGATGATTCTTAAATACGACCAGCCTTAGGGGCTCTAGTTGGAGTGCCACAGTGGGTGACCACCTCGGGAGTCTACATGTGCCTACTTGGTAGCTTGAACCCTGAGTGAGGTAATTATAGCCATAGACATTGGCAACCCCAGAAACTCAGACTGCTTCTGCCCCAGAGTGCAGGCTGTTAAATGCTCGAAGGGGCGAGGAAGGAGAGGCCTGAAAGCAGCTGTATCCCACAGGGAACAGGGATCCAAGTTCTCTTCAGGGCCACTGGAGTGTTCCTAGGGGACAGAGATTAGCATTGAATTGACTTAGATCCACCAAGAGTTTCAGGCAGGGGAGTAGCAGGGGCCAGGTTTGGAAGGACATGGAAATGCTGAGCCTGCTTGTGGAGGAAGGAGCTGGTCTGGGGAGACAGTGCAAAGGCTGGTGCAGGTCTGGACAAGGTGGCCACTCTCTCCTACCTGGGTAAAGGGCAGGCCGGGGTGGGGTCCTCTGACTTTCCCTAGGATGCCCTCCACACACCCACTGCCTCTGACCCCACAGACGCTGTCCATGCTTCCCACTAGGATCCTGAGGCTGCTCGAGTTTGTCGGGTTTTCAGGAAACAAGGTAACTGGCAATCTTTCTGTACCCTCCATCTACCCAGTCCAGGGCTGGAGTTGGGCTAGACAGAGTGGGGCTGAGGGACCATGGGCCTGCTGCCAATACTGACTTAGATCCCTCTCTGTGTGTGGCCCTGGGGGGAGTCTAGATCTTTCTGAGCCCCAGGCTTCCCTCAGGGTTTGTGAGGCCACAGATGTCTTCCTGCCTGGCATCTTGCAGCGTAGCGGGACTGTGTGAGAAGGGTAGATGTGAAGGCAGCCCCATAGACACCAGAGGCCACACTGTCTTCCCCCTTGGTCACATGCTCACTACAAGGTCTTGAGCTAGTCCTTTCATTCAAGGTCAGCCTTTGGTGTCCCTACTCTATCAGTGAGTGTGCAGAGAGTCTTGTCATCAGACCTGGAGAGGAACCAGGGGACTCACTGGGGCCAATACCTGGCACACCAGCAGGGGTTAGAGGAAGCAGACCAAGGAGGCCGCCTTCAGCAGGTTGCCAGCGTGGTGGAAGGAACACTGTCCAGGAAGTCATGGGTCATTCCCAGCCTCCTCCTCTCCCTGTGACCTGAGGCAATTCCCTTTCTCCCATGAGCCTCCTCTCTGTAAAAATAAGAGGCTCCACATGTAGCCTTTTTCTTTTGGGCCACCAACCAGTTCCCAGATCATGACACAGAGACTTATGAATTTTTGAATGCTCGGCCATAGTTTAGCTCGTATTTTAATCTGTTTCTCTTTATCTAATTTTGCCTCAGGACTTTTTGTCTTTTCTTTCTGTAGAGCTTACTTCTCCCTACTTCTCGTGTCTGGCCCCATGTGCCCCCCTTTCCTCCTCCCTCATTCTCTCTGTCCCTCCTTTGCCCAGATTTCCCCTCCTGTTTATTCTCTCTGCCTCCTAACCCTGCCTGTCCCTCTCCTGCCTAGGCACTAGCCATTCAGCTTTTTATTAAACCAATCAGGTGCCTTAGGCAGGCAAGATGAAACAAATGCAACACACCTTTACATAATTAAACAAACACAGCATAAACAAATGTAACACATCTTTATGTTCTTAACAAAGGCACCAGAAACAAATGTAACAAATCTTTTCAGGTTTAATATTCTGCAACATAAACAAATGTAACATATTTACATAGTTATATATTCCACAACACCCACATTGTCCTGAAGATGCTGGTGTGTGTGTTCTCTCTGGCTTTTTATATCTGACACATATATGAACCACAGCTTTTTGGTTTACCTATTATTTGCCCCAAATAACATCACTTTAAAAGGAAATATTATACAGAAGTCCATCTTCCCCCTCCGCATCCCCCCAAAACAGGGGTTTCTCAATGTAATACCTCTGGCTGTCCTGGAACTTGCTTTGTAGACCAGGCTGGCCTTGAACTCAGAGATCTGCTTGCCTCTGCCTCCTGAGTGCTGGGGTTATAGGCATGTGCACCCCAGCAAAATCCATTTTGTTTAATCATGAAAAAAAAAAATGTTAAGAGTGCCATACAGAGCCTAGCATGATGGTGCACAGCAGCACTCAGGATGCAGAGGCAGAGGCAGAGGCAGAGGCAGAGAGGCAGAGAGGCAGAGAGAGAGGCAGAGAGGCAGAGAGGCAGAGGCAGGAGGATCTCTGAGTTCAAGGTTAGCACCCATAGAGTGCCGCTTAATAGTCTTCAGTACTAAATGTAGGGTTGGCCACCGCTTGGCCTGTGTGGTTTCTCTTGGTGGGTGAGAGCAGGCGGTTGGGTAGGTGGTTTCAGGAAGGCTGAGCTGGGAAAGTCTACCCTAACCCGCTGCTGCGCTTCGTTGGGTGAAGTCAGTCCCAAACCAGGGCAGCTGTGGAGCGTTTCAGGCAGGCCAGGCAGGCCTATACTTGAGAAAGGGCGTGAATATTGAGGAAGGTAGATGGAAGGCAGAGACTACACACACAGGTTGGGGCTGGGCCCAGTGAGGTTCTGGAACATTCTCCCCAGGAAGCTTTTCTGGCCCAGGCTTACCGGCACCATCAGCACCAACTTGCAATTAGGGTCATTTTCTTCGGGTCATTCCTACTCCCAAGCTGACTGCGCAGTTTGGCTTCTGTGCCCACGACAGGGTCAAGAGTAGGCACAGATGGAGAGATGGGGAGGGGAGGGCAGCCCTTGTCTCAGCATCACCATCCTGGTGCCACTGCTCCGGTCTCCGGAAGAACAGACTCCCAGAACTGCCCTCTTAGGCCCAGTGACTCTCTGAGAATCCCAGCCTGTGTTCTTGTTACCCCAGGACTATGGGCTGCTGCAGCTGGAGGAGGGTGCGAACGGGCACAGCTTCCGCGCAGTGCTGTGTGTCATGCTGCTGCTGTGTTACCACACTTTCCTCACCTTCGTGCTCGGTAGGAGATCCGGTGTGTCGGGGTGGTGGGCTCCCGGGTGAGCGGCTGACACTCACTGCTCAGGCACCTAGGACTGGCAGAGCCAGGTCAGCCGGCTTGCTGCGGCTTGCTGCACTTGGCTTGTTGAACGTCCACGTCCTCTCCACACAGGTTCCATCTGTGAAATGGGGGTGATTGCGCCACCTCGTGGAAGGTGTGAAGATGCTGTCCCTTGTTTTAGGTGCAGACTCAGAAATGGCTTCCAGGTTATTGAGCCTGTGATGTGCCTGGACAGTATCCACATTAGCTTGTTCAAGCCTCCTGTCACTGTAGAGATAGGGAGAATCGTGCCATTTCACAGAGGGAAAGACAGAGAGCTAATATTCAGGCATCTGTACTGGCCTGCCCATGGGGTCCTGACAGGATAGAGCACCACCTGTGCATAATCACTATGTTCCCTTTTAATAGGGCTCTGCCCACCTCCCATCTTTCTTTCTCTTCTTCTCTCCGTCTGTCTGCCCCTCCCCCCCCCATCGCCATCCTGTCTCTCCTTTCCTTTCTCCTCTCTCCTACTACTCCTCTCTCTCTGGAGGCTGGTCTCCCCCTTGCCTCTCCCCTTTTTATGATCCCGTTCCCTAATTTAAAAAAAAAAAACCCTCTGCTTGAACCCTGTCTTTCTCTCACGCACCATTTTTCTTAAATTACAACACAGGACACAAGAAGGCCCTGGCAGGTTGCTAGGAGGAGTACAGGTGTCAGCAGTGGTAACCTGAGCCTTGTGTTTCCTTGCTACCTGCAGGTACTGGGAATGTCAACATCGAGGAGGCAGAGAAGCTGCTGAAGCCCTACCTGAACAGATACCCCAAGGTGAGACCAACCTCTGCTGGCCACCCCATCCCATCTAAACCCGGTGGACACACAGATCCTCACGAGTGTCATTGCAGGGTGCCATCTTCCTGTTCTTTGCCGGGCGGATTGAAGCTATCAAAGGGAATATTGATGCTGTGAGTGACGTGGGGGTCTTGTGGGATGCCCCAGCCCAGAAAGAAATTAGACACATAGAAGCATCCTTGGGGGTAGGGTGAGCCCATGAAAGAGCCTGGTGGGAGAGGCACTCCTGCCTGCCTGGGGGCGTCTGGGAAGAGGGAGGCTGTGGCATTTGTGCTGTGGCTTTTGATAGAGAGATACAGGCTTTTGATATTCCTTGTCAGGAAAACTGCTGTGCAGAGCATGGTGACTAGGGTGGTGGTGGTGGTGGGGTGATGGAGGAGGAGAAAAAGAACCACGGAAAGGGCTACACAGGGAAGGTCACAGTCAGAGCCAAGTCCAGAGCACTATGCCAATGCAGAAGACTACACTGTAGAGTCCTGGATGTCTGCAGCCAGCCCTACCAGGGTAAATCCCTAAGTATGGTAACCATGGAAACTACTAGAATCTTTGGCATTTTCTCTGAGGCGCAGATATTATTTTTTTAAAGGTTTTATTTATTATGTATACAACAATCTGCTTCCATGTGTATCTGCACATCAGAAGAGGGCACCAGATCTCATAGCGGATGGTTGTGAGCTACCATGTGGTTGCTGGGAATTGAACTCAGGACCTCTGGAAGAGCAGCCAGTGCTCTTAACCTCTGAGCCATCTTTCCAGCCCGAGGTGCAGATATTATTATATCAGTATAATATTAGTGCCCTCTGGGGCTGACTAGATGACACATGAAGAGACCACCTGACTTTAGTCCCCAGCACCCATGTGAAAAAGCCAGACATGGTGGCAGAGTCCTGGGGGGGTGGGGGCAGTGCATCCCTGAGGTTTGTTATTGAGCCAGCTAGCCTAACTGGGGAGCCCCAGGTCCCAGAGAAACCCTGTCTCGCAACAAACAAAGAGGGACAGATGCTGAGGAAAGACACTTGAGGCTGACCCTTGGCCTCCCCCTGCATCCATCCACATGTACACACTAAGGTAAACATTGCACCTTGTTTGTCCTGTCCTGTCGTCCCCCACACCAGTGTGCTCTGTTCCATGCTTTCGTTTAGTGACCAAATCTCTAGAGTCAAAATGAGAGGCGATCAGGGCCTATAGCCAGCCTTTCAGACTTAGAGCCGGGACTGGAAGTCAGATTCCCAGGCTTCCCAGACCCCGTCTTGACCTGGCACAGTTCTGAACTACCATGCCTTGGGGGAGGCCATTCCTGCTGTGGAGTTAAGGGGTACAGAGGTATTGGCTGGTGGGCCCTTGAGGGGCTGACCCGAAGCTGCCCACAGGCCATCCAGCGGTTTGAGGAGTGCTGCGAGGCCCAGCAACACTGGAAGCAGTTTCACCACATGTGCTACTGGGAGCTCATGTGGTGCTTCACCTACAAGGGCCAGTGGCAGATGGCCTTCTTCTACGCCGACCTGCTGAGCAAGGAGAACTCCTGGTCCAAGGTGGGCTAACACTGTGGGGCAGGGCATTGGGTGGCCAGGGGTCACCCAGATGGGCCAAGGAACCCCTAAATTAAGGGCCAAACCCCCAACTAAATATGTACGTGTCCACTGGGGTCGAATCAGAACCGAATGTCTGAATAGGACTCAGGGTTGGGAGGAGCTGAAAGCTGTGACAAGCCGAGAAACTTGATTTGGTGCTGGGCACTGAATCCAGGCCCTCGTCCATCTGTTCTAAGCATTCCCCTGTCAGGGAGCTACCTCCCTTCAACTCTAATGTGTCAGCACAGCTATGTAGTCACAAGGAATAGCCATGTCTCATGTCTAAAGCATGCACTATCTAACAGAAATGCACACTATGGCAGGGATCTCTTTTGCACTACCCAAGGATGGTAGTTGCCAGCCACATGGACACATGGAACATGCCCAGCACAACTGAATGTTTACATTTTATTTATTTTTAATCAAATAGCCCCAGTGGGTCTGGTGGTCACTGGGATCAAATAGATCTAAAACATGGGAGGCTTATCGGCTCATACAACTGAAATTACTTGGCGTCACCTGACTCCAGGAATTCAAACTGTCTCATCTGGCTTAGCCATCCTGCCTGCAGTTGTGTTCTCTTGTCTGACACTGTGTTTTGCAGACAGCTTTCTCTTCACACAAAACAGGCGAGGTGGCTAAATTACATCTTCTCCTTAGTTTCAACCAAACTCCAGGACTAAGCCTCATATGTCTCATGTCAAAATCTGGAACAGGTGAAAGAAAAGGTTCCCTTCTGGAATGAGAGTAGGAGGGAACCATGTGCTTTCAGAAGGACCAATGAGGTGACATGACTGGAAGAGGTGTGCGTGTGAGAGAGAGAGAGAAGGGGAGGAAATGACATTATACAGATATGCCATGTAGGCAAAAGAAAACAAAGCATATATCTGCTCAACACAGCCAGACTTAACAAGGTCAGTGGGACAGTGCTAGCGTGATGTTAGTGACAGTGACAGCAACAGCAGTGCAGACTGAAGCAAGCGTCTTCAGTGTCCAGGCTGGTCTGGCACATAGCACACCTACTCCGATGACTTTACGCCTTGTCCATAGCCGACATTGCTAATCAATCCTGGATCCTCCCGTGGCCTTTGAAGCCTCTTAAAGGACTCCTGGCTGTTGTCAGAGCAGCTCTGCCCTGACACACGTTATAAGATCTATTTGTCATCTGCATCTCATTTGTTTCTCACCCTGCCTATGCATGGCTCTGGCTCTTTCCTGCTCTTTACTGGGAACCAAGCTGAAGAGAAATCCTGGGGCAGGCGGAGCTTGGAGGGAGCAGGTTCCCCTGAGTAATCACCGTGTCTCTAGCATTTGTCATCCTTTTTCACTGTTCCCAGTAAGGTAGAATCCAGCAGATTGCTTTTCTCTTAACTAACAGCTCAAGTCCTCCTGAGGAGGCTGGGTTTGCCTTGAGGCCTCCTGCTATTGAAGGTGCATCCTTGGGGGCCTAACTCAGGGGGCACATCATTCAGCAGCGTCTACCCACATGGGAACAGGGAGGCCTAGCATGACCACACCGCTACAGTGAGGTGCACGGGGCAGGCCAGACTTATTAGGCATGGTGAGGTCTGCTGTGAGAAACACCTCACTGTATGACTTTGGGGCAGTAAGTTTTCCTCTGTCAGCAGTTACCTTCCTTAGATAGGTTTCCTGTGAAAAATGGCTTCAGTTTTGGGGTCTGCTCCTTTCCTGTTCTCCAGTGCCAGACTGCTGCAGTATCCCTCAGCTTCCAGCTCTGGGGATTTATCTGTCTGTGGACATGGCCATATATGCCAGCTCCTATATTCAGCTCCTTCTCTGCCCGGATCACTAAAACTTCACCCTGTGGAGACTTGAGTTGGCCCAGAGCTCGCAGCCTGGGGCTAAGATGGTAGGAATTCCATGGTGACACTGCTTAGTCCTCTAAAGGCATAAGCCTGGGAACCCAGAGGCAGCCTTGGAAGACTCGCCAGGGGGACAGAGGGCTCATTCAGGAAGGTGAGACATTCGAGCAGAGCCAGGGAAGGAGGATTTAGGGAAAAGGAGAAAGTGAGAGGACAGAGACCACCCCCCCCAACCCAGAGCAAGAAACCAGGACTTGGGGAGGAGGGCGCTGCCAGGCTTCTGTGTTCATGGGGTGAGGGCTTGTGGTATTGGGGGTTGTGCTGGAGGCATGAGCCTCCTCTGGCTACTGCTGGAGGCTTAAAGAAGGGCACTGTCTGCCTGCCTGGCACAGCCTGGGTTTCCTACTCCAGTGAGGTAAACATTTGTGGAATTAGAGGGTAAACAGTTGACCCCAGAGAGAAGGGACCTGGATCAGAAAGGTGATTGTGGTCCCTCTGATGTCCTTGGATGACTTGACTGCACAAGTCACTGTATACCCCAGCCTGATGGCTGGTTGTTCAGTGAGGTGAGAGAGGTCTGTTGGTCTGGGGGTAGGGAGGCTCTTGGAGGAAAGAGCCTACAAAACAAAGCATCTTCACAGGCAAAGGCCCCATGGGCTGTGGAGGGATGGAGAAGTGGCATTTGATCTTGCAGAGGAGACTGGTGAATCTGTGGAGTTTCTGAGAGGATCTTTGAACTATATCACAACTGTGGGGCGAGGACCTTGAATGTTTATGCTTGCTAGGCACTCTCAGTGTCAGGCCCTAGCCTAGGCCCCACTGAAGGCTCATCCTGGAGACAGGAAGCACACAAGATGTTTCATGTTGGCTTCTAGTGAAACAAGTCCCCTGTCAGGGACAACACAGGTGCATCCAAGGGGTGGGCCATGAATGTCTTGAAGGAGGACTGTTCATGCTGTAATGGGCTGTAGGAGGGAGCCCCTCTGGTCTGGAGCAGGGGAGTGGATGGGATTAAAGGTGTGCACCACCACAATTTTAAAGTCTTGTCCAGCATTCTGTGGCTTAGTGATTTCCATCTGTCTCTGTCTGCCTTGTCCCCTCATATGACCTATGTAGACCGTGTGTTCCCCTTGAATATATGAGATGACATATTAATTATTTTTCATATGTGGCAGTTATCGCTCAATAACTCACTTTTGTTTGTGTGCCAGAGCATATATTTGGCACATGGATCTATGAAGGAGGCCAAATGTTGATTTCCAGATGTCATTATTGCTCTACACCTTATTTTTTGAGTTGCTGTCTCTCCACTGAACATGAATCTTGCCATTTCTGCTGGGTGAGCTGGCCAGTGAGCTATAGGGATCTTCTTGTGTCTGCCCTGTGCCAACTCCACCACCCTCCCCAGTCCCAGACACCTGGGGTTACAGACACCTGTAGCAACACCTGGCTTTTGGTATGTGCTGCATTCAGGTCCTCATACTTGGGCAGCAAGCATTTTACCCACCGAACTATCTCCCCAGCCCTGGTTTTTTGTTTTTTGGGTTTTTTTGTTTGTTTTGCTTTATTTTGTTTTTGAGTCATCTGAGAGGAGGAAACTTCAATTGGTAAAATAACCTCCCTAAGATCAGGCTGTAGCCAAGACTGGAATTAGTGATTGATGTGGGAGGGCCTAGCCCATTGTGGGTGGTGCCACCCTGGGCTGGTGGTTCTGGATGCTATAAGAAAGCAAACTGAGCAAGCCATGATGATCAAGCCAGTAAGCTCCCCTCCATGGCATCTGCATCAGCTCCTGTCCTGTTTGAGTTCCTGTCCTTGCTGCTTTCTATGATGAGCCGTTATATGGAAGTATGGGTGAAATAAACCCTTTTCTCCCAAAGTTGCTTCTGGTCACAACAATAGAAACCCTAAGATAGTCTCTCACTCCGCCCAGGCCTAGAACTCACTATGTAGCTCAGGCTGTCCTTGAACTTGGAGTTATTCTCCTGATTTAGTTTAACAGTTAGTAGGATACAGGTGTGAGGCACCATCTCAAGCTAAGCTCTTTTAAAAATCATTTTTTGGGTTAGCATACAAAATAATTGGTTTATTACACTTTCTTATATATGAAAGTATATACTGTAGTTTGGCTTATTTTCAGTCCCCTACCTCTACCCACCCTTTGGTGGATGTTTTCTCTCCAGTCCTCCTTTCCCCATTTCATACATGTGTCTGTCTATCTATCCTATCCATCCATCCATCCATCCATCCATCCATCCAACCATCCAACCAACTCCAGTTTGCTTTCTGTTGTCATGATCAACACTGTGACTCTGCTAGCTGGTCTTATGTCAGCCTGACAGACTAGAGTCACCATCAAAGAGGAGGGAGTGTCAATTAAGAAAATGCTTCCATAAGATTCAGCTGTAGGTGCTGGGGCAGAGGGTGGGGGGTGCATGCTTTTAATCCCAGCACTTAGAGGTAGAAGCAGGCAGATCTTTGTGAGTTTGAGGCCAGCCTGGTCTACAGACTGAGTTCTAGGACAGCCAGGGCTACACAGAAAGACCTTGAAACACCTCCCCTCCCAAATCCAGCTGTAGGCAAGACTGTGGGGCATTTTCTTAGGGATTGGTGTGGGAGGGCCCAGTCCACTGTGGGTGGTACACGCTGGGGCTGGCGGTCCTGGGTTGTTTAAGAAACTAGGTTGAGCAAGCCATAGGAAGCAAGCCAGTAAGCAGAACTCTTCCATGGCCTCTGCATCAGTTCCTGCCTCCAGGTTTCTGCTCCCATTCTTGATGATCTGCTATATGGAAATGTGAGTGAAATAAACCCTTTCCTTCCCAACTTGATTTTGATCAGGGTGTTTTATCACAATAGTAACACTAAGATAAATTGATACCAGGGTCATGGGGTATTGCTATGGCAGAACTGTGGGTGGACTTTGGAATTTTGAGCTAGAAAAGCCACTGAGTGTTCAAAGCTTGGTGAGCTGTTCTGTGAGAGCTTGGGAGATAGGAATGTTGAGAGTGCAGATGACGGAGGCTTGGCTTGTGATGTTCCACAGGGGAGTTTGAGAGTCACTTAAAGACTATCAGGGCTGGCTGCTATTTTGAGTTGAGACTGTGGTTCTGGTTTAGCGGGGCTGAAGAATCAGCAGTGATTAACAGGAGACCAGAACCACTGAAGGAAAACCTTTGCTTTACTGGGGGACAATGACACTGGCTAGCCAGAGCTAAGAAACTAGTGGTGATTAAGAGGAGACCAGCATCACTGAGGTGAAGCCTTCTGGGAAGTATTTCCTCAGAGTGGGCACACAGAAGCTGTGTTTCCAGAGGCTGCCACATTTGTACGTTGCACTTGCAGCCGAACTTGATAATGTGTAAGTTACCAGATGGTGCTGGGTTTGAAGGCACGAAGGAGTCCTAAAAAGCAGCTGAGGCTTGGCACTAAGAGGCCAGGAGAGACTGTTGGAAGTGAAGCCTTTGGCAGCAGCTGAAGCTTACTTTTTTAGGTATGCACTCCGGTGGGGTAGCCCCATCATAGGATAGCTCTATTTTATATCTGAAGAATATCCGATCCATGCTGATTCCCACACTGGCTGCCCCAATGCACACTCCTATCAGCAGTCACACGAGCCCCCCCCCAATCTGTTGTCATTGGTTTTCTTGAATGTAGTTTTGATTTGCATTTCCCTTATGGGTAAGGATGCTGAACATTCCCCCACGTATTTCTTGCCTATTTGTACCTCTTGTTTTGAGAACACTCTTGTATTTTGTTGATTATTATTGTGTCTATGCTTGTGGACAGGAGTGCCAGTGTGTCTGGAGGTGGAGAAGACGAGTGGACTCTGTCCTCCCCTTTCACCCTGTGTGGGTTCCTGGATTGAACTCAGGGTGGTAAACTTGTGCAGCAACCAATTTCCCTGCTAAGACATCTAGAATGATCCCATGTTTTATTTCTTTTACTGTGTGTGGGAGAGAGAGAGAGAAGGGTGGGGGGGGCCTCACCTTGCCCAAGCTGGCCTCAAACTTACAATGAAACTAAGGATGAACTTGAACTCATGATCTACTTGCTCACTTTCCCAGCTGCTGCCGTCACAGACACCATCTCTGTTCTCGGAACTTAATTTATTTGTTAATTGGTTGGTTGTCAGATAAACCTTTTTGTGTTTAGAGACAGGGCTTTTCTGTGTAGCCTTGGCTGTCCTGGAACTCACTCTATATACCAGGCTGGCCTCCAACTCAGAGAGATCCGCCTGCCTCTGCCTCCCAAATGCTGGGATTAAAGGCATGTGCCATCACCATCTGGCAAGACAAACCTTTTTTTTTTTAATTTTTTTTTTATTAATTCAAGTTAGGGAACAAGCTTGTTTCACATGTAAGTTCCTTCTCCCTCTCTCTCCCCTCACCCCCATCCCTCCTCCCCCATCCCCAACCTACCCCCACCCCATCCACCCACCACTCCCCACGCAGGTCACGTGGGATGGGCTCTCAAAATCCCTTCTTGCACCAGGGAAAAATACTAATCCACTACCAGAGGCTCCCTGGAGTGCAGAGGCCTCCTTATTGACATCCATGTTCAGGGGTCTGGATCAGTCTTGTACTGGCCTCCCCGACAGCATCTGGGGTCGATGTGCTCTCCCTTGTTCAGGCCAACTGTTTCTGTGGGTTTCTCCAACCTGGTACAGACCCCTTCGCTCTTCATTCCTCCCTCTCTTCAACTAAATTCCAGATTTCAGCTCAGTGTGTATCTGTGGATGTCTGTCTCAAGACAAACCTTTTTAAAGTCATTTTTACAGACAATACAGGTTTTTTGACCTGGTTATTTCATGCTAATTAGAGGCTCTACTGTCAGTTTTAAATTCTTAAATACTGTCCCCACTGTTCATGAAACTGGCTTAGAACCAGTGTAGGTATACTGCTACCATTTCTTTATAAGTTCAGAAGACATCTCAGGTATTTAATCTAGAAGAAAAAAGCTAGACATGAGGTATTGTCCCTGGAACGTCAGGGACTAGGGAGAGATAGAGGGTAGAGTGACCATTAACATGATGGTTCCATGAGGAGACTCTGTTACACATCCACAAAGATCAGCTTGGTCCTGGTTTGAAGCATTAAGCCACCTTGAGGCTGTGTTCCATCATGGATGGTGCTGGTTGAGATTCCAGGATCCCTTTCCTTCTCCACCCATGTCTTGGCTTCTGGTGGGTATTTTTCTTGGCAGCTGCCCTGGGAGGCAGCTTTTTCAAAACTTGGCCACTTGAGGGCAGCACAGAGCCAAACACCTCTAACCCTAACCCCAGCGCCTTTCTTGTGGGACTTGTGCAGGCTACTCTGCAGCTGAAGCAATACTCCCCACTCTCCCTGTCAGGTGGCCTATGGATCTAGCAGGCAAGGTTCTTTTAGATGGTTTCTTTAGGATGGATTGAGGTGATGTAGGCCTACCCCAGCCCTGCCAGGGTCCTGTCCTCTCTTCTGGACTTAAAACTCCTCCATATAGTCCCTACTGCAAGCCACCTGTGTCCCATGCATGTCTCTACTTCCACTAAGATGGGTTCCTATGAATCTGAATCTTCCCATCACCCTTCAAGGGCTACCCGTGTTCACTGCTTCCCAGAAGCACCCAACCATGCTCCCTCTGCTTGTGCCTTGTCTCAGCAGGCCTGCATGTTGCTCAGGTCTTTCTCTTGATGGAGTCAAGGTGACAGTGTGGAGCTGTCAGAGGGAGGGTTGCTCTTTAACTCTCTGCTTCTGTCTCCCATAGGCAACCTACATCTACATGAAGGCTGCCTACCTCAGCATGTTTGGGAAGGAAGACTACAAGCCTTTCGGGGATGATGAAGTAGAGTTATTCAGGTCGGCCCCACCATCGCGCTCTTGTTGTAGGCCTTACTGTGGACAGACCAGTCAGGTTCTGCTCTTGGCTACCTGAGCTGTAGTGATAAGTTGGCATTCCCAGCTCTAAGGGCCCTGTGCCCTTATTCCCCTCTGGCCACCACTTCATGCTGATGCTGCAGCTGGTTAGAAAAATCTGAATGTGTTTTGTCAGAACCTTTTAGCACTCATCCCTTTCATCTGGTCACCAGGACAGATAAGGACACTATTAGTCACTTCCGATGCTGTGATAAAGTACCATGACCAAGGCAATTTATGAAAGTGTATTTTGGCTTACATTTCCAGAGGATGAGTTCATGATGGCAGGGGAGTGGTGGTAAAGGGGTGGGCATGGTAACAAGCACCAGGCATGGTGCAGCAAGAGCAAGGAGGGTGAGGCTATGAACTCTCAAAGCCTGCTCCCAGTGAAAACTTCCTCAGAATAGCCACACCTCCTCAGAATAGCCACACCTCCTAAACCTCCCCCCAAAGCAGCACACCAACTGGGGACCAAGTGTTCAAATGCCTAAGCCTATGGGGGACATTTCTCATTTAAACCACCAGACTCTGAGGTCCAGAGAGGAGGAGTTAGCTAGATCCACAGAGAAGCACAGACCACAGCATTGAATCAAAGCAACAGAACTAAATCCATTTCCCAGCTGGGACACCTTGGACAATTCCTGTAAGACAGGAATAAGCAGTATAGTTTTGCAATGGGAAAATGTATTTAAAGACCCTAGAATAGAATTTGGAACCAACTGGACCGCTCCCAGAGTGCTGATGTTTTCATTATTTTCTGTCTCCCTTATTTGCCTTTTGTGAAGGGTCAAAAATGTTAGCAAGCCCAGCCTGGAGTTGGAGGATGGATTCTAGAGCCTTCCTCCATGGTCAAAGATGAGGCTGGCTGGCTCCATTAGCAGACGTTGGTTAGTGCTGTAAAGGAGCACCTACCTGCAGAGTACCTGCTGCTATAGCAAACTCTATGGCCCCAGCTCACAGAACTCCCCCAGAAAACTTGAGAGGTAGTACAATCTATGCTTTTGAGATTAGAAAACAGACCCAGAGGGGTTCTGCAATAAGCAGCAAAGAATCTGGGGTGGCCTCACCCGTCCAGTTGTTTCCTGAGCCCATAGAGCTCGGGGTCTGAGATCCCAGCCACACCCAGTGGCCAGGCAGCTGGTAGTGGGTGAGGCTCCAGCCAAGGCATGCCCAGCTGTGTGCATTTTATTCTATCCTTGAAACAGCTGAGGCCACAGCTCAGGAGGCTGGAGTTAATTAAGGGTTTGAGCTGTTTGTCTGTGCAGGTCCCTCCCTTTCTCTGGGTGTTGGTCTTGCCTGTGAAACTGGGATTAGACTTTTGTGGGCCCTCCCAGGAAGGCCTGGGCGTCAAGGGGAGATAAGCAGGAGGCAGGCCTAGGGATATCTAGGTACATTCTCACACTGCCAGCTTTGGAGCCTTTGTAAACAATCAGGTCATGCAGGGACTGTGAAATGAGACTGTAGCCACAAGCTGGCTCACACCTTGATATGCTTTTTAGAGTTAAGCTCTCTCATCACACAGTGTGGAAACTGAGGCCTAAATAGGCCGAATTGAGAGTGGAGACCTGCTTCATTTTCCCTATACTCCTGCCTCTCTTGGTGCTGGGGAATTGAATATTTTAGGCAGGAACCCTATGACTGAACCAAGCCCTTAGCCCCCCTTTCCCCATTTCTTTTTCAGGGCTGTGCCAGGCTTGAAGCTCAAGATTGCTGGGAAATCTCTGCCCACAGAGAAGTTTGCCATCCGGAAGTCCAGACGCTACCTCTCCCCTAACCCCATCTCATTGCCAATCCCTGCTCTGGTGAGTAGGAAGACAGCCTCTGCAGCAGGTGGAGGAATGGACTGGAGAGGGTTTCACAATTCTCCTGGGCTGGAGAGACAGGCCAGCGGGCTGCAGATGCCTCAAGGCAGGAAGAACAGCTCTCTTAGATACTAGACAGCACCCCAGCCCCAAGCACAGGATGGCTGGAATGTCTTGTGTTGCCACAGGATTCTAATCACTATTTACATTGTCTTCATTAGATCAACCTTTTCTGAGGTGAGAGCAGGGGTCTCAACCCAGGTTATGTTTGACTCTGAACAAAACTTGCATGGCAGGGGGTGTAAGGCCTAAAGCAGCAGGTCAGTAAAAAGATGACCACACAGATGGTGTCTCAAAATTTGAACTCAGCTGTGAGGCTCCAGAACCTAAATCCAGGGCTACTGTTAGGCTAATTCCATGCGTGGTTGGAGCTGGCATCAGCAGAGTGGTAGCCCTGCTCTGCTTGCTGGACAAACTGTAGTCCCAGCTCTCTGGCTCAATTGTGTGTAACCTTAGGGTCCTTCTGCTGTGAAGCCAACATCTTCATTGGCAACTGTCCCAGTTCATGCAGAGGTGTGAGAATCCACTGATGACTTGTGTTGAATACTTCCTAAGCTGACCTTTCCCTACTTAGTTTATTCTATTGAGAGCTTGTATCCTCTATGTGAGGTTTTGAAGTACTTGACAGACTGAGTACAGTGGCACATACCTGTAATCCCAGGAGTTGGAAGGTGTAGGCAGGAGGGTTATCCTCAACCAACACAGTGAGTTTGAGGACAACCTGGGATACATGAGACCTGTCTCAATTTCTATGGGCCAATTTAAATGCTACTTATGTAGAAAGTGATCTGTGATTAGATACACTGGAAGGGACAGGCCAGGCTATATACTGCTGATTCTCCTCAAGCCTTTACAGCCAGTTTGCTATCTCAAGACCAGAGCAATTTGAAGAGCACTGATCTAAACCTGCATTGTAACAAGAATCTGTTTAACTGCATTCATATCCATTACCTGGCTTGATTTAGGAAATGTGACTCTAACAGAAACTCAAATATTAAATTTTCATTTTCAGTGTCAGTCAAAGGAAACAGGATGTTTTCTAATTTCCATGAAGAGGCTGCCATCCGTAAGCCCACTGTTGTCAGGGAGAGGCACAGCCTTAGGCTCTGCTGTCTTGAGAGGATTTAGTTTCCCCCAATAGGGGAGGTCTCCAGGAGCAGGGAGGGCTTCCAGGACAGTGCTGGGCATGGCCCAATCCTCAAGGGGAGATGTTTGGATAAAGAGAGGGCATAGTAATATCCATAATGACCACATCAGGAAAGTAGCTGAAACCTGTTGGCAGTTGGGCCACCCTAAATCCTCATGGAATACATGAGCTCTCAATAACAAGTCGATGGTAAGGCTGCCTCCACACCACCCTCAGCCCTACAGCTTCACAGGCTGGGAGGAGACCTGGAAGATCAGGAATCCAAAGGCCTCAGACCTTTTGAACTGAGCTGCCTGTTTTACAGATGGGAAACTGAGGCCCTGCTGAGGCAGAGACCTAGGACTGACTTGCCCCACCCCCACTCTCAGGAAATGATGTACATCTGGAACGGCTATGCTGTGATTGGGAAGCAGCGGAAACTCACTGATGGGATGCTTGAGGTCATCACCAAGGCTGAAGAGATGCTGGCAATGGGCCCAGGTGATTACCCTCAGGCTCTTGAACCTGCCAGGTCAGGTCAGGTCTTTAGAGCTGAAGGTTCCGCTGCCAAAAAAATGTCCTTTCACTCCTCTATCCCAGTAACCAGTCTTTTAGACCAGTGTTAGTTCCTCTAAGCAACTGTCCCTTGTCTCTTTGTCCAGGGCCTTCTCTTGAGCTTCCTTCTTCAGTAACTGTCTTTTCTTCTCAGATGTGAGTCCCCTGAGGTTAACTGTCTGATTCACCTGTGTCCTGGGTTCCACAGAGGGGCTCCCTGAGTAACTGTTGCAGAAGTGAGCAAGCCTACCTTCTTCCCCCACACCCCTATTCTCAGAGAATGAGTACTCGACAGATGATGACTGCTTGGTCAAACTGCTGAAAGGCCTGTGTCTCAAATATCTGGGCCGAATCCAGGAAGCGGAGGAGAATTTCAGGATCATCTCTGCCAAGTAAGTGCTTCTGGTAGCTCCTCTGGGCTTAACTTCTCCACCCCCTCCCTCACACTGCACTAGAGTGCTGTCTCCACCCCCCGCCCCCCACTGCACTCCAGTGCTGTCTCCAGCCACCTAATTCGTCACACACGTGCTGATGTCCACTCTGTGTAAGGATGAGCTATACTAGGAAAGGCTATAGGCTGATGTTTAATTTGGAGGTTTATGGTGCGCACTTTTAATCCCGGCACTTAGGAGGCAGTGGCAGGAGGACCTCTAAGAGTTTGAGGCCAAGACATAGTGAGATCTCATTTCAGTAAATAAATTTGGAAATTTAGCAGATAAGTGAGGACCTTCCCTACTTGTCTGCTTCTATTCTGCAGTGAAAAGAAGATTAAATATGACCACTACTTGATCCCAAATGCCCTGCTGGAGTTGGCCCTGCTGTTCATGGAGCAAGGCAGAAATGAAGAGGCCATCAAACTCCTAGACTCTGCCAAGTAAGGCTTGGTCAACCCCCATATTTCCTATCTGTGCTCCCTCAGAACTGACTAGGGGCAGAGCAGCCCAGGCAAGTGAGGCTGCTGGCAAGCGCAGTGTTCTGGGAATGCAGCTCTAGTTACCACAAAGAGAGCTTTTCCCTCAGTTTAAAAATTTAGCTGGAATTCTAGAGACAAAGGTCCACCCACTCTAAGCAAGCTACAAAAGCTGGTATAGAAACCTGTCTCCTGACAGACAGTAGCGGTAGGAGTAGAGCCTTTTAAACAAGCCTCCCATGGCTTAGGGCTCAGCTCTTCATTTTGAATCCCTTCAGTGTCCTAAGGGTGGTAAGGTGGTGGTGTCGACAGCACATAGCTCAAATGATTTCCCAGAACAGCCAAGCTTCTTGGATCTGATCCTTTGCTCCCCCTTTAGGCAAAACTACAAGAACTACTCCATGGAGTCAAGGACCCATTTTCGAATCCAGGCAGCCACGCTCCAGGCCAGATCTTCCCTAGAAGGCAACAGATCTACAGTCTCATCAACGTCCTTGTAGCTTTTTGCAGCACTTCTGGGCTGGAAGATGAACACACAGCTAGCTGGACAGAGCTCCTGGAAACATTTCAAAAGATTCCCCACCCCCTGCCTTTCCTTGGGGTCCACTTTGGTGCTCCAGTGGGATGGCTCAAGAATATTTGTGCAGCATTTTTACCAGTGTGGCCAAGGCCTTTGCCTAGGGCAGAGCAGGTGGAGCCTTCTGCTGGCTCTATCACACATACGGGTACTTGTTTTACACTGTGATGTATGAACAGTTTACATTTCTTTAGAAATACATTGATGGATTATAGTTGGTGTTAAAAAGAAAAAAAGAAAACTCTAAGCCAACCAAAAAATAATTGCTTGTAAATCTGTTTTCACCCAGATGATGTGGAAGTAAACCTCTCCACATGCTGCCAAGGCCAGGACAGCCTAGGAAAAAAAAAAAAAAAAAAGAAAGAAAGAAAGAAAGAAAGAAAAAGCCAAATTAAGTTGCTAGCATTTATGGCATTTATGGCATTTATGAGAGAGAGTTTGGGAAAAAAATGGAGAGTTTGGGAAAAAAATGGAGAGTTTGGAAGACCTTGTACTCTCAAAACACAACCAACCAGTTCCTGTGTAACAGGATGAAGCCTTGGGAGTTTTATAAGGAAAAGGCCAAACAAACCTTTTATTCATGATCCCTTTTCATACTTAGTGCTGCTGCTTTTTTGCTGCTTTTTTTTCAGAACTACACAAAAGAATCTTAACACAGAAGCCCTAACCAGGCAGTGTTAGCTGCAGCTACAAACCTGTCTCAGGGTTTCAAGTGCTTTTGCTTCCCTGCCATGACTTTCTTGCAATGGCTAAGATACTGCTGCTGCTGCTTTCCTGCTGGGATTCATTAGCTCAATTAGTCTGTGAAAAAGAACACTGGGTTTCTAAATCCTATCCTAGGCTCCCCCATGTCCTGAGTCATTCTGGATCAGTACACTTTCATAGCACCTGTGCCACATATGAACAGCCAGAGGATCTGAATGGTCCCTTGGCAATGCTCTCCTATCAGCTCTCCCACACCTTGGCAGGTTTCCCTATCATTCTTGAGTCAGACTGGGAGTATTTCCAATACAGCTATCCAAGGCTTGGCTCAGGCCCGGGTCAAAGCAATCTATAAATCCATTTTCCTCTATAATTTTTGAGGTTCTTTAATTCTAAGATGATGGTAAGGGAGAGGGTTTTTCCTGTGTGGCCTTGGCTGTTCTGAAACTTGCTGTCCTGGAACTCACTCTGTACACCAGGCAGGCTGGCCTTGGAATTCACGGAGATCTGCCTGTCTCTGCCTACTAAATGCTGGGATTAAAGGTGAGTGTCACCACTGCCTGGCAACAATCTCATCTTTTTAACCTTTCAGAGTGTCAGAGTATCTTTTGTGATTGCTAGGACTAGGACATCAGGAAATTGTTGAAAAGATACATTGAGAACATCTCATACCTGTTGTCAGCTCCAACTTCCCAAGGTTACAAGGTGCCATTCTGCTAGGGTTAGTACAACTTCTCTAAAGTTAGGTGAAAGTTCAATACTGACCAACAGCATAAACCCACAACTAATCTCAGTTGGGAGCTTGAAAATTCATTCCTAAATGAGCAACTATAATTGTTTCCATTGCACAAAGCCAGTTAAAAGCAACAGAGCTCTTTGGAGGCATACAGTTGACAACCAGACATCCAGAGACATCATAGATACCACCTTGCAAATAACTGGGGAGAGTTGTTTTACTTCACAGTAAGGAATACTGGACATCTAGACATGGTTACTCATGGCAGTGGTAGGAAGATTAAGAATCATGCTGGGGGGCTGGAGAGATGGCTCAGCGGTTATGAGCACTGGCTACTCTTCCAGAGGTCCTGAGTTCAATTCCCAGCAACCACATGGGGGCTCACAACTATCTGTAATTCGACCTGGTGCCCTCTTCTGGCCTGGGCAGAACACTGTATAATCATGCTGGGAGGTGGTGGCACATGCCAGCAGCATTCAGGAGGCAGAGGCAGGTGAATTTCTTAGTTCCAGGACAGCCAGGGCTACATAGAAACCCTGACTCAAAAAACAAACAAACAAACAAAAAACTGAGTTTCAAGGTCAGCATGGGCTATGAGACCCTATCTCAACCATTCATTGAGACAAAATCAAGAGCCTTTGCTGTATAGAAAACAGCTAATAAGTATTCACTATCTGCTAGTTGCTATCAAACTAGTTGTAATCCTCATAAGTACCCTATGAGGTAGGGACTGATTGCTTTCCAGATGAGAAAACACAGGTTAAATAACTTGCCTAGATCCATACAGCCACCATGCCATACAACCATACAACAACACTTTAGGCCATCAGTTTAATGTTTAACGCACACTGAATCTTGTGTCACTTTTAAAGATGGAAGAGGTACCAGCTAATTCCACCTTTGGAAATCTGTGTTAACACATGGAGTATGTATGACACGGGTCCCTGTGTTCCACATGGCACCATGAGATACTGAGAAGGTCTAATCTAAGTTCAACAAAGCCAAAAGAAAACATAAACCAAAACCATTTAATAGTTGAGGTTGAAGAGAAGGCTCAGTGGGTAAAGTTTCTTGCTGACAAGTATGAAGATCTGAATTTGGATCCTTAGCATCCATGTAAACAAACCAAACAAACCAAAACCAACCAACAAAAACTTAGATACAGAGGTGCACATCTGTAATTGATAGGTGGATCTCCCCCGCCCCCCACAAACCAAACAAAAATTACTAGCAAGATTCTGACCTCAATCTATGATCTATACATATATACAAACTTGTTCATGAAAATCATTGAGGCAAGGAGGAAATTGGTCCCTAGCTGGACAGATAAATTCTGATTAACCTGTACAGTTGGGAAGGCTACAACATATGCTAGAGGTGATTTACAGTAGGAAATAGAACATAAGGGTGGTATAATGCTAGATACTAGAACCTTTAAAAAAAAAAATCGTTTTTTAGGACCGGAGATGGTTCAGAATTTAAGAGCAATTCCTGTTTTTCCAGAGGACCAAGTTTAGTTCCCAGCAGCTATGTTTGGTGGCTCACTATCATCTTTAACTGCACCCAGCTCCAAGGATATCTGAGGCCTCTCCCAGCAACTGTACTCATGAGTGCACCTGTGTACACACCCCCCCCCACACACACCCCCACACACACCCCCCCCACACACTTTATAGATAGCAGAGAGCTGTCTGAAGCGGATGCTGGAAATTTAACTTGGGTCCTCTGCAAGTACATTACATACAGATGAGCTCTCCCCCCCAGGTCCCAATTATAATTATGTTTTTAAGGTGGGTGTGGCAGCCTCATGCCTGTAATTCCAGCACCTGGGAGGCCAACACAGGATAGCTCAGGAGTACAAGGCCATCCTGGGCTATAGAATAAGACTGATTCAAAAAACTAATTTGTGATTTAGTTTAGTTTTTCTGAGATGGATCTCACTATGTAGCCTTGGCTGATCTCAAGTGCACCACTAGGCCCAGACTTAACCAGTATTTGAAAAATACTAATAACTACTACCTGCTTACTGCGTGCCCCTGTTTTAGTTAAAATACTACCAGTGCTTGTTTAAGCAAATACATCACACCTACCAGTTCAAATGACCCGTGGGTCAGAATCCTAAAAAAAAAAAAAAAAAAAAAAAAAAAAAAAAAAGCCCTGGGGGCCCACAAGATGGTTCAGTTTGATATGCAGGCCTGATCACCTGAGTTTGATAACTGGCATCCACAAGTGGAAGAGAAATGATTCCCAAAGTTATCCTCTGCCCTCCACATGCCTGCTAAGTGTGTCATAATGTTACCAAGGATTATGTAAAATAAGTCACACACAGCACAGTTCCCTAAGAGAAGGCAGGGCCTGCCCTGTGTGATTAAATTAGGCCATATCTCGTGCTGCCATTAACTAAGGCTACTATAATTTTTGGCTGTGCTCCTCTCCTATTAGACAATCTCTTCTAGTGGCTCTTTCACATTACAGGGTGCATGGCACTTCAGGGCTCCTATCCTTAACTTATGACTAGTGGCACAAAGGGTTTCATCTAACTCCAGTATGCAAAACGCAGGGAGGGAGAAAATTTGGCTTGGCTCAATGTCTATCACTCAGGCAAGAAGTTCAAATTCTAAATCTGACCACTAGTAGCATCATTTGTGATCTTAAGGAAATTCAGATCTAGAAATTGTAGGCTTAAGGCCCAGAAAGTCTTCCAGATGAATCTGATGCACACTCACGATCCCGAGGCAATGGGATTTTCTGCTGTTCCTTCTTGCCACCTCCAATCCCTTGAGATTGGGTCTCCTTGTGTAGTGTTGGCTGGCCTAGAACTGCCTTTGGCTTCCACCTGCCACCATGTCTGGCTTTGCACTCTATGAGACCTCCATCCCCATCAGAAATATTAAGATTCCTTCAGGTTTCTCTTCTCATTTACAAAACAAGCGTCATACTTTTGTGGGGTTTATTCTGATAGGCTAGATGGCAGAGTCCTATGAAAAGAGACAGAAAGCCATTTCATCCCAGTTTGGATTTTTTCATTTTTCTAGGTAGGGTTTCTCTGTGTTGCCCTGGCTGTCCAGGCTCTGTAGGTAGACCAGGCTGGCCTCAAACTCAGAGATGTGCTTGCCTCTGCCTCTTTAGTGCTCTCCAACACTGCCCCAATGGATTTTATTTTCAGTCCAACACAGCTATTAGAGTTTTAGCAGTGGGATGACATCATTCAACTGATCCATAACATTATTTTAGCTGCTATGTGAAGACTGGATTATCTGGGGTTAAACATGGCCTACAATTTCAACTGTTTCTGGTTTGTCTGAAACACAAAAATATTGTGTCTTCTTTCACCAGAGCTACATAATCACTTGGTAAGAGTTGGCCTTTCATAGTCATGTAATGGTAGAAGTAGAGAATCCAATCAACTCTACAAAATTATCTTGACCTCAACATGCATACTATGGCACCTACATACATCCCCCCTTTCTCTCCTCCCTCCCCCTTACACACACACACACACACACACACACACACACACACAGAGGCACACAATGTATGTGATCTGCAGAGCAGAGGGCAGGGCCCAGAAGATACAAGCTGCTGAGGCACAGCCATGATGTCTCAAAGTTGAGGACCTAGAGCTGAACTAGACCAGAAGAGACAATGTTTAAGACACTCAGGAAGGTCCTTTCTAAAGGGAACCTCCTTTTCTATACCCCGATTGCTCTGACCTCCATGTGTACATACATGTAATACTCACAAATCTTACATGAGTGATAATGTTAACTGCCAGTGCCTGTCGTTCAGGGTTATAAAAAACAAACTTCAATAAAGTGAAAAATTGTGCAGGTAATTCTGAACTTTATAGAATTTCACTGGACCTAATGAACTTTATGTATCAGAAAACAGGTTGTAAAGTGCCTAGATTTTCTGGCTAAACAGCAAGGAAATAAGTACAGGACACATGGCAGGAAGCCTATGTAACCTTGTCCAGGAGCTAAGGAAACAGTGTACCATAGCAAACTTCACAGGAGCACAGGAAAGGCTTATCTGCCAGTTACATAAACTGCCTGTGCATGTGCACAGAACTGGCTTGGAGAAGCTGGGTGTTGGTGGGCATGCCTTTAATCCCAGCACTTGGGAGGCAGAAGTGGGCGGATCTCTGTGAGTTCCCGGGACCAGCCCTGTGTACAAGAGCTAGTTCCGTGAGTTCCAGTACAACCTCCAAAGCAATAGAGAAACCCTGTCTCAAAAAAAAAAAAAAAAAAAACCCAACAAAAACAAAAACAAGCAAACAAAAAAGAAAAATACAAAACAAAAAGGAAATGACTTGGAGACTGTACTAGTTTGAACAATGTCCCCATAGGCTCACATAATCCAGTACCTGGTCCCTTGCTGGCAGTACTGTCTGGGGACGCTCTTGTACTTCACAGGAACAGGTTTGAGATTTATAGCCATACCCCACTTCCAGTTCTTGCTCTTTGATGAAAGGTGGGATCTCTCAGCTTTCTGCTCCTGCTGCCATGACTTCACTACCATTACATAAATCTAGCCTATCCTTTGGAACAAGTGATCCTAAACAAATTCTACAGTAACAGAAAAGTAATTACTACAGAGACTGAAAATATTAGATTTATTCTTCTCTCTGCTAGATAATCACTTGGTTAGAGTTGGCCTTTCATAGTCATGTAATGGTAGAAGTAGAGAATCCAATCAGCTCTACAAAATTATCTTGACCTCAACATGCATACTATGGCACCTACACCTGCCCCATCTTTCTCTCCTCCCTCCCCCTTCCTCACCACACACAAACAGGCACACAATGTATGTGAACTGTAGAGCAGAGGGCATTAGATTAAGGGATTAGAGTCTT